GTTGCTGTGAGCTAAGCTGACGCCACGGCATTCTAGCCCGGGCAAGAGCATGAGACTCTGTCTCAAAAAATAAATAAATAAATAAATAAGGTAAATAAAAATATATAGAAAAAATTAGCTGGGCATGGTGGCGCATGCCTATAGTCCCAGCTACTCCGGAGACTGAGGCAGAAGGATTGCTTGAGCCCAGGAATTTGATGTTGCTGTGAGCTAAGCTGACAATGCTTTTTTAAACAATGTTTTTTAAAACAATGTTTTTTTAAAATTAAACCACTTTAAGGAGAAATACTGTTTTCAACCTGTATGTGGCTCTCACCAAGCACTTTAAAGATTTTTTCATAATTTTATAAAACGATAAAAACTAAAACACTGTACAGCTAAATATCAATCTTTAAAAAAAAAAAACTTAATATAAGAATAATTCTAAAGTAAATCCAAAGTCCAAGCAAAAAACTAAGTTATTTAAGAAGCATCACTGGGCAAGTCTTTAATAACCACTAAATACCATCGTTCATCATGAAATACAGCAGATTCCTAAAAAGATGATGAAGTGCTAACCTACCTGTGCTTTAATGAAGTAATGTGTCATAAGACAACGTGTCACAAGGCAAAGAGGAAAGTTTTGGGGTGCTCTCTGGTTTTTCATACTACTTTTAAATATAGACGATAATTTTCTAAAGTGCATAATTCAATTATTTGTAGTAAATGTACAGAGTTGTGCAGCCATCACCACAATCCAATTGTAGAACATCTCCTATTTCTCTTTTATGGTGTAGTTCTAGCACATAAAAATTTAAGATTTGTCCCAACACTATCAAAAGGATCTACCAGAGCATCCAAAAAAAGTCATTAAATACTTGTTTGATACTGTGAAACGACTTTATCAGTTAACGATTTAAAATATTTTACAGATTTAGAAAATCTTCCTATCCCTGAACCTCTCTCCCTACCATGCTATGCAGTTCCTACCTTTACCAGCTGTGCTGGGAAAATTACCTGAGCTTATCTTGCTTCCTTCTAAGTATTCCAAACTGTTGTGATATTTCCTTTAAGATCGGGAGCTAAAGTTTTATTTTCTTTCTGGTTTCCTGGCAGAGCAAAGGCCCAGCACATGAGAACGGAAACAAAACCCACATAGACTACAGTGATGTCAAATACTGTGGGTTGGGTCACCTTCCTCCTCAACAGACCCCCCTTTCCCAGCGAGCACCCAGAGAGACCAGTTGGCGCTCACCTATCACTCCTCAGATCTGCCTTTCGAACGAGGGTCCGGGATCAAGCTTGAACCCTCCTCTCCACTACGTTTCCAGAAACAGGGTCGTCGGGACAGTAGCAAGCATTTCTGAAATGCACCCTAAAGAGATGGTTGCACAACAGCCTCTGAGAAGGATTCCGGTTTAACAGGTCAATACCACCGATGAACCAAGTGAGAGGTGATCTGCTCCATGGTACCGACGGCATTTCGAGAATGTTTGCGTTGCGGAGCAAACCCAAAGTTTTAGCACATTACTTAGAGCTCACCTGAGGAATATCGCAACGGGCTGAAATGAGGAATTTGAGAAAATGGGTGCTACGGAATCAACAAATCAGCACTAAACTCAAGCTAGGCAGAAAAATGCTTTGAATACTCGGCTTTGTTTTGTGGCAAGGCGACAGAACCACCGAATTTCGGAGTTGGAAGACACGTATCTCCGTGTTCTCCGGCCCGTTCTCGGACTTGAGGGCCGCCCCGTCCGCCGCGCACTCCGTCCCGTAGTTCCCCAGATTTAGGGCGCAGACCTTCGGGACGGGCGCCAGGAAGCCCGGGGGAGGCCGCGGCCCGGCCCGCGACGCCGAGGCGGGAGGGAGGGGAGCGGCCTCCCGGAGCACGACGGAGAGAGGGGAGAGAGCGAGGAGGCCGCGAGGCGAGAGTCGGAACGGCTCCGAGCAGGCGCCCGGCCCGGCCCGCAACCCCGAGGCCCGCCCCAGCGTACCTTTGGCGAGGGCTACGGTGGAGTTCTCGGTGTCGATGGTGTAGAGGATGCCCTCGTAGCGGATCTCCGCCTTGGAGATGAGGCTGATCTTGCTGCCGATGT